GTGAAGTCTGGTCTGTTGGTCTTTCACAACCTCAGACTGTCGCGTCCTGTTTGTTGCTTTTTCAAGCGTCAAGTCTGGATCAAGCTGCAGTCTTTCAGAAAGCTTGTGATCTTTAAGTGCCACCACTATCCTGTCTCGAATCATTTCGTTGTGGAGTGTGCCGAATTTGCAGAACTTGGCAAGCTTGTGCAGATCTGTCATGAACTCTTCGATATTCTCTCCTTCTCTTTGACATCTCGGATGGAGAGTGGGTCGCTCATAAACAACGTTCCGTCTCATAACAAAGTGGTTCTCAAAGGCTTGGAGCACGGCGCTGTAGTCTGTCATTTGCTGTTCAGGTAAACTGAGAGACAGCAGGATATCATCCGCTTTGTTCCCCATGAAGTAGATGAGAGCATTCACCTGTTCTGTTCCTGGCTTCGCAGCGAGACCACTGACGACTCGAAATCGTTCGAAGCGGCGTTTCCACGAGGTCCATTCTTCTGGGTTTGCAAAGGTGTACGGCTCAAGGGGTTGACAAAAGAAGCTGGACGTGGCCATTGCTTGCGTAGCTCCTACTCCGGGAATATCGCCTTGGCGCACTTCTGACACCATGTGTTGTCAGGGCCTCAGGAACTCAGGACTCAACCAGCGTCCGTTGAGAATCAGCCATTTAATCCTCTGTCTCGAGCGCCCCTCCCTTTTCTTCATCGTCGTCTTTTCCGGCTCACGCCTCGCGATGACTATAGCTCCTTGCACAACATCGCCCTGCAGAAGATTACAGTCATCGATTGAGCGAATACAAAAAAAAGGCTTCATGTCATCAGAAAATAACGACAGATTTGAATTTACTGCACATGTATCGTTGATAAAAATCAGAAACAAAAAGGTTCCTAGATTATCATACTTACGATTGTGTTGATGGCTGTCAAAAATATCTGAGAAGTTAATTATAATATGACAACACATTGACGATCAGTAAGATGTCAAACCACTTCAGGGAAATTGGAAAAAGAACCATTCTATGACAATTTATGTAACCGTAAATTATGGTTAACTTTTGCAAATGACTTCAAAAGATTAAAATATATAATATTAACTTGTCACTATTAAAAACACGGGGCACTGAATATTTTGCAAGCTGGATAGATTTGTCTCGACATAACTACCCCTAAGGAAATACTGTCAATAAGAAATAAGGCGTTGTTTAAGATAAAACGTCATGCGCGCATGCATTAAAATCTTAAACACTTAAAAAAACATAAAAAACATATGGGGCGATACTTATTCCCTGTAAAGGTATTCCACGTTTATGTAGAGGCACATCAATCGACTTTTTCTACACAGAAGGTAAAACACCCGCAGATATTAAATATATGTTCAATGCTGAAAAAAAGAACACGTTTTAACAGCCCTTAACAATAAAATTAGAAATACAATCCAAGCCCGACGATAGTTTCAGCTTTAATTGTATAGCCGCGTCCATGATATCAGGTATAGTAACTTTGTCGAGCGTAAAAATATCAGAGTATGTTGATTCATTGGAAGATGCACAACCTGTAAACACCATCTGAAGAAAAAAGCTACTACTGAAGTGACCTGAAAATAAGTAAGCAACATCATTCGGGTTTGACACATACCCAGAATCATTTCTCAATCAAATACGCTGTACACTATATCTTGTGTGCTTTCTGGCGAATCATCAAAGCGCATCTGGTTTGTAGAACAGACTATCTTCCACTGCTCTTAAATGAACTCGCTCGTCATGTGCAAACAACTTTCTCACAAAAGCAGAATAAATACTAAACATGATCTGTTTCTTTTGTTCATTTTTTGACAATGTACTCTTTTGTGCACGCAGTACAACAATTCTAGAATATCACAAGGGGTTCTTTTTTTGTCCTAGACTCTAAAGGAACGTTTTGGAATAAATTTGTCGACTTGTAAATGATTCTGCCACTGAGTTACCAGTTCCCTTTTTTAAAAAAAGGCGAATAGTCAAAATCTCGAAAATACTCAGAAAGACAGATAATCACCTGCGTTTGACGCATACTACGCGTAGCTTTCTCAAACTGCTGGTTTAAAGGAACCATCGAAAGTGTCAATAAAAGGTGGGTGATATACGCGAGCCTTCACTAGTTGAACATCACTTAACGATAAGTCGTTTATGGGATATTCAGTAAGATAAAGACAAAGGACTTTGTTTCCCACGTTGTTCTTAAAGTCGTTCAACGGTCTCGGACTATTAAAGAATGTGAAATTCAAAAGTCGGGATCATTTACTTATTGTAGAAGTATTTTAATTGTTGACAAATCCCAGCGACCAGTCAATACTACGCAAGTTCAAATCACTATAAATATATGTACTCGTAACTCGATCAAATTGATTACTTTTTCTAGCGCTTAAAATTGCTCAGTAAAATTGCGATTGTCTGAGACAGGAGAAAAATAATAACTACCGATAAAATAGTTAGGTCCATAATGCGAGCGCTGAATAATACAGACGCATTCCGCGTGTAGGACTCGGGTCACATCAATTCGATGCGAGCTAACCGAATCGTCGACGGTGATTAAAACACCACTCCCGAATTTCTGACGAGTCGAAGCTTAATCTCAGTCACGGCGGCGAACGGCATAGGAAGGAAAACAGCATATATTCGAAAATTTTCTCGTCCAGCCAAGTTTCAGTGAGACAAATAATGTTAAAATCAGAAAAAAACATATTTGATAAAAAAAAAAAAAAAGTGTCCACCTCGCTCTTAAACCACGACTGTTTTGGTAATATGCTTTAAGCGTCTTCATTATTTGGTTGATAAGAAGAGTTGGTAGCCTGCTTACATCACGTCTGAAAAATGTAAGCTGGCTACTAATATACAGCAACATTTTCTCAGGAAAGTAGCCAGGTTTCCCTGTGGTCCACTGTCTTGTAGTTTTCAAGTGAGTATCAGAAGAACTTGCGGTGTAGTAACACTGACAACCGCCGCGGCGTCACTACAAGGCTTTCTCAAGGGTGTGGGGTGTCCGATATGGTTGATAATTTGTCAAATTGGCACCCACAAGTAACACCAGTCAAGTTCCTGCATGAACAGATAGCAATCGCAATGTGGCTAACTCGCTGTCAAGAAATAGCGCAGGTGCTGAGGTGTTGCTATTCTGGAGCATGAGTATCCGCAGAACTTTCTGTAGTGCGAGAGCAAATCTATTTTTATTTAGGGAGTTGGACTGTGAAGGAAGAGAGGGGACGGCACCTTTTCTTTTTTTTCGGAGGGGACAACTTTTGAATTAAGGGGAGTATACCCAAGGGAGGGAAGAGAAGGGGGGAGTTTGTTTCTTATCCCCTTTGGACGTTTATGTGCAATCCCAGTGGCTATCTCGGATTTTGACTTGCACGGGAGGAAAGGCCATGATGATGGAAATTAGTCTCTCCTTTCTGGCAGGGAGCGCATGTCAGGTGTAACTGTAAGATGCCGGTGCAATGTCCTTCAACCTTTGGTGATGCACAAAGGAGCATGATCACCGGATTAACAGCGCATAAGAGCGCGCTGTACCAAAAGAGGGCTGAGCCGCTAGGCATTCGCTCATCTCCTTCAAGGAAGATGGTTTCAAACCTATTATGTCGTACATTGATTGTTGAAAAGTGTTTTTATTCGTCGTTGAGCTGACAAAAGTATGTGACATTGCTGCGGCTGTTGGTCGCAGGCAAGCTCTTACAAGTCGCCGAAAACGACCCTGAAGTTTCTGTACCGCAAGGTTACAGTTCTCGGACAGTCGAGCCCCTTCAAGGGTGTTCGCTTGGTGGTGTCTATAAAGTACATACGTCAGGAGGTACTTAGAACTTTCCGACTGGTGAAAGAACGGGATTGGGGACGTTTAAATGATCTCCAAATCTATGTAAATCGTGAAAATCCCCGGTGTATTTGGGCACCCCCCCCCCCCCCTCCAAACACACACACACACTCCTCTTTTCGGAAGATCGATGGTACGGTACCTTCTTGCAATAATCCCGTTTTTTGGGTGATGAGCGCGGGATGTTATTTGTGGGAGATTCGGCATTTCACCGAGGCTATTGTATGCAGGGTTTAGTGAACTCGCTTGGTAGCGGTGCAGATGCGCAGGTGGAGCAGATTCCTCTGCCCCGTCAACTTTATCCTTTAAATCATCGTTCGTGATGGATAGGATTCGGTGTCGGGGTAACGGAGCACAGTTACTCTCCGCGTACGGGACGTGTAACTACACTCTAAGAAATGCCTGCGCGTCTACTTACCCGCAAAACACTCAAAGAGTAAAACTCTGCGATCTACGAAATCAGCTTAGCGAATGTTGAGGAGGAACATCCGTTTAGGACTTAAAAATGAAGTCTGCGGTGTGGCATTACGCACTGCAAAGCGTCATGCTTGCATTGCGTTATGTCACAGCGCAGAATTCATTTTTAGGTCTTAACGGATGTTCCGCCTCATCATTCGCTGAGCTGATTTTGTAGATCGCAGAGATTGGCTCTTTGAGTGTTTTGCGGGAAAGTAGACGCGCAGGCATTTCTTAGGGTGTAGAATCGCAGCATGGCCTTTTAGGTTTCAGTTCCTCAGCAAGAGGTGTTTTGAACCAGTGTAACGTAAGTCGGCAGGGATAAGTGAATCTCCCATCCCCAAGAGAGTCCACTTCAGTAAACGTTGGACTAAAGGCCGGTTCACACATGCGTCTTAGTGCAGAGATACCGCAAAGTCGGCACTGAATTAATCCTACTTTCAGCGCGTACTCAGCTCTGAAGTGGAGAGTTTACGCTGCATTGGGTGTGTAAGCAAGCAAAGCTTGCACATGCATGCATCAGAGTGCTGATACAGCGCATTCATAGCGCAAAGCGAGCGCTAAGTCTATATGCTGAGTTATCGCTACGGTGTATATGTTAATATACCTGTCTGATGACGTGCGGTGCGGTCTCGTATGTCTCCTTGGTTTTCTGCCTTAGTGACGTCTGCCTGGGATGCACTTCCTTCCATCCTCAACCTGGCGCTGTGGCCTTTCTAGGCGCCTTCCTCATCCCGTACACCGTGATGCTGGTGTTCGGCGGCCTGCCCTTGTTTTACCTGGAGCTGGCTATGGGCCAGTACTACCGCAGCGGCTGTCTCACCATATGGAAGAACATCTTCCCCATTTTTAAAGGTAGGCACGCTGCATTTGGGGTCTCCCCGCCAAGCGAACGTCTAGGTTGTGAGGCATGCAAGGCAGGGAAGTAAAGGCAGCAGCGAAATACGGCATCGTTAGAGCCGACATTGGTGGTCCCAGAAAAAGACCGAGAAAGAAAACAGAAGATAGGTTAGGCCTGTTCGTTTTTCAGCGACAAGTTGAAGGTGTTCTAGCGCTCGACAACTTTAATAATTCTTTCTAAAAAAAAAAAAAAAAAAAAAATTGGGGTGTGTGTATGGTATGCAGCTTAGAACTTAGTTTGACTCAACAAGCGATTTGTCTCTCCGCTGTAGATGAGAAATTTAGCCAGTGCAGTACAAACCGCTAGCCTGTGGGCCTTTAACGTGCACCACGCAGTAGTGATGCACGACCGCACGCTGGTACGATGCTCATCTAGATCGAAACGAGCAGGGGTGGAGGTTAAGCCCAGAATCCCTGGGTTCTTCAGCACGAGCTTTCGCTCCACCTGCTCCGAGCTGGTGTGCGCTTAGAGTGCGCTAGCCTAGTGTCACTAAATAAGCTACGCTTTCGAGTAGCGATTAGAGTGGTAACGACACTTTGCCATATTCTGGCTTAAAATCATGGTTGCCAGTAATCTAAAGCTTTATCTGAAATCAGATGAAACACCTTTGTGCCCTCCAGAAATGTTTAAACAGTTCGCGACAGAGCAAAGTATGTTTCATGAGCTTCCTAACACCGAATCTAACGCTGAGGAAGTCGCACTTTTGAATCATGACAATCGGCAGTCGCCACTGCTCTGCATAAGAGGCAAAATGGCGGTGCCCACAACAATGTTGGGGAACGCAGTGCCGATCTTCTAGGCGCAGCTCATTTAGTGTCTCTACGCTAGCCCACTCGGCCACCAATCGCCCCCTACCCCCTCTTCCCTGTTCTTTTTTATACAACGCTGTTCTCGTGTGTTTCCGTGCAAAACAAAAGCAATAAATAATGCAAATACAAACTTTACAAGGGATGTGTTTTTCTGCTTCTTCTGCGTATATCAATGCGTAGTCAACAATATGTCCTGCATGCCCCGCCGTTCTAATGCAGCAGGTATGCATGGGACTTTTTCCTCTAGGTTATTATATTTGACTTTAACTTGCAAGGTGTTTCCAAGAGTGCGATGTAGCTTCTTTCACCCTCGTCAAGGTTGTTAATAAGTTCAAACTTATTTTAACGTGCGCGGTACACCACTAAAATGGTGCCATCTCGGTTGATTGAATGGACTTCATTAATGGCCGTTTGTCTACTTCCCCACACAACAATGGTTGAGACAGTCACTATCATTGAAGGAGGAAACTTGGCAAACAATAAAACCGCCTGCCCTCCTCCCCCCCCCCCCCCCCCTCACACACACACACGAGAAAAAATCGCTTTAATGGCGTAACCCGGGCTGTGGCAGCGCGAGTGGGACGCGAACACAACACCATGCTCAGTGTTGACGGTATAGCTCTAGAGCGCAGCGAATGCACCACGCGAATTCACCATCTGAAAGCGTATCTGTAGTAACAGCGCACGTGCGTAGAAACCAGATTCACCCGAGTTGAAGCATCTGCGCATGCGCAGGGCCAAAAAACAGCGCCACCGCGGTGGCGTGACAACGTCAGAGCATCGAGTTAATCTGTATTATGTACACTTTATGTACAGAATAGAGCCGACGCTTAATGATCCGTTGGAGCATAGCCTCCTATATACTGACTAGAGCCACTCAATGAGCCGTACTTAGGGTATCGGGACTCTGTTTCCCCGACATTGCTGTGGGCGCCGCCATTTTGGTGCTTGTGCAGGACAGATGCAAGTGCCGATCGTCATAATTCAAAGGTACGACTTCCTCAGTATTAGCTGTTAGAAAACTCATGTAATATTGCTTTGCCCTGCCGCGATCTGTTTAAACATTTGTGGAGGGCGGAGAAGCGTTCTCTGAGATTTCAGATAAAGGTTCAGATGACTGGCAACCATGATTTTAAGACACAATATGGGCAAGTGTCGTTACTCTGAAGCGTAGCTTACTTAGTGGCACTGATACTGACAAAGCCTGGCAGATCGCCACGAGAAGCGGCCGCCGAAATAGAAAAGATGGAGCGTCAGACAACGGATGAGAGGAGAGCCACGTGACTGGCGCCCCGCTGCGGCGGGGCGCCGAAACACACTTCTCCCGAGCGAATAAGTGTGTTTTGGGTCCTCGCCGCTGCAAAAGCTGTGTGCTGACGTTCAGGTTCTCCGACGAATGGCTCTTTGACGCTCTGTGCTACCAGATACTCGCGCTCCAAATCTGCGACCGGGCACTCTATGGTTCCGTAGTCGAACTGCCAGGATTTGCGAGTATAGAGGAGGCTATGGTTGGAGTCAAATGAAGCGTATTAAATCAAAAGGCGCCGAAAGTTCGTAAAGGCGACAAGCGCCGTGGAGATGCACTCTTGTCACCTCTAGATCATCAGTGGCTCTAGGAGCGGCACGAAGGAGTTGACACCTTTCGTCACCGATGGTCATTCCAGCATCGCCGCGCTCCCTCCACTCGAGTGTATCGGGGTGCAGAATGCCCACCGGGGTCCTCCCCAAGAACGTCGAAACCGCGGTCTTGTCTCCCGGACGTCGGGCTACCGAACGGCAGCCACGGGCGCGCACGAGCGCCCCTTCGAGCCCCGCCGGACCGCGCTCGAGGGAGCGCCGGGGCACGGAGGAGGTTGGCGGCCGCACGGAGCTCAGATAGCGCGGGCGAAGCTATCGCGCTCAGTTCTTCTCTCATCGAGGCACGCGCTTCTTTGTTTAGAGGGCCTTACCGACGGCCATAAATCAGAGCGTTTCCCTCCATCGGCGACACCGAAGGAAAAAAAAGAAAGAAAAAAAGCTGCTATGCTGTGCATGCAGATTCCTCCAGAACGCCACTATCGCTGTTTTTCTTTTTTCCTTTCTTTCCCCTCATTATTTTCCTTTTTTTTGCGGGTATACTTTTAAAGGCGATCTTCGCATGCATATGTGCTTGTGTTTATGATTGTGTGCGTGCGCGTGTGTGTGTTCGAGCGTGAGTGTGTACATTTACGTATGTGCCCGTATGTGTGTGCCTTTGCGTGTATGAGCGTTGTTTAGAGAATCAACTGTGATATACTTATACCCCTGTCAGACGGGCACCTTAAATGCCATTTAAGCAAAATAACATTAGAGCTCGGCCAATCCGCGTGTTTAATACGCCACGCTACGCGCGCGTGCGGAACGTGCAGAGCCAGGCTCACGAGCTGATTCGTCGAGCGGTGAATGACGTTCGATCAAAATGGCATTTACTTTCCCGTCTGACGGGGGTATTAGTGAATTACAGCTCGCTATACGTAAAGACGGTTACCCGCGATCCAGTTACTTTTGCGTAAATACTATTACACCGAAAGTAGTGATTCATTGCAATTGTAACCAGTGACAGGAATTCAGTAACTTTAAACAGGCAATACTATACAGCCCCCTTTTTGATATGTATGGCAACTTAAAAAGTACGACTGCATAAAGCTCCTATTGCGCGACACGTACGCATTGTTCCCAGGACAGTGAGTACAAACAAAGCAAATTCAGAATCGTGTATAAACCAGTGTTGGACAAAATACTCGATAAAGGTATTTAAGGGGAGAGACCCCCTAGGAGGGTCAACTTTTGAACCCTTGGCTTCAAAAATAATGAAATTTACTGAATATGGTGGCGGTCATGCTAGAGGGTGCAGGACAAACTTTCAGATCTGTCGGTCAAGTGGGAAGGAAATTCGGGTACCTTCTATCAGCAACACACCTACATTGTTTAGTTAATCTATCGTCGGAAAACTATCACAATATTCAAGATTTTTATTCGCTAGGTATGTGGCAGAATTCGTGGAAGGTGCGGCTATGAAAAGCTTTTTGTTAAAAGTCATTTATTTCTATCAATTTTCTTTTCTGCAAAATTGGTCAACTTTTGGCCTTCTGTGTCTTCGACAAAATGTCAACATTTTTTTTTTATAAAGGATATCCGTAAATTGCCAAAAACGTTTTATAGTCGCATTTCTTATTAAATCTCAGTCAGGAAAAGTGAAGAACGAGCCTTCCTTGTGTTGCCATTATCAAACGATAAATTTCCTAAAATGGAATTTATACCAAAAAGTGGAACGCAGAAAAGTGCGTTTAAAGTGCTCCAGACCCTACATTTTCTTTAGCTTCGATGGACTGAAAATAATTTATAAGAAATTATCTATGCAGTGTAAACTAGTGAAAATTTCTGCGAATACTCTCTAGATGTTGGTGAATGTAAATATGTAATTTTTCAAAATCAATGTTTTTTGCAGAATTTCATTTTTTTTTTTTGGGTAGTGTCCCCCCGTAAGTTGAGTTACTGAATACCTGCTTTATAAAGTATTTAAAATAATACTCAAGTTAATTTCCCTACAAAGTATCTTGAGTAGAGTACAGACACTTAGATATATAATTAAATTACTTTTGAAGATATTTCCGCATTGCGTAGTTTGTATCGACGTCAGTGACAACGGCAGTTATACAGCTGCGCAAATCTGGGTTACCAGAATGGTTTATTATCACGCAGCAACACAAAACAGAAAAAAAAAATCGTAGAGCTATTTTATACAGTTCAAATATAGGGAGCAGGATATTGTCACGACTTACAAATGACGAGGCGGCGAATAATTGAAGAAACTGAACGTTTAATAGGGCGAACTTGTGTCCAAAACAAAATAGAGAAAGGCTAGCGTCGCAGGCGTCGATGTCGGCGAAACAGCAGGATCGAGCGCTGGGGGCGAGACTGACTGCGGACCGCCACTCGGAGCACCTTTTGTACCCGCGTGGGTTTGTGGAACAGAGCGATTGTCACCGAAAAGGGTTCCTGGCAAAGACAAGTCGCGTCCTATCTCCAAAAACATCTGTCATCTTTAAAAATACAGGACCCCTTCAAAGTAGTGAATTCTGAAGGAATCGTCGAATTTCTCCGGTTAAAGAGCAATGAGATCGGTA